TTTTCAAGGTGCTCATCAGATATTTTGGTTCTAATTTTGCCTTTCATGTGCTCCATCCTTGATAATAGCTGCGCACAAAAATAAATGCTGCTGAAAAACGCATGACATGAATAAGGCATAATTTTGAACAGTGAGATATTATTCTTTGGGAAGCTAAATCTTTAAAAAAGTCCAGTAAAGAGACACTGTCAACATTTTCTTTGGCCGCGTGTTTAATTCCTTTTTTTCAAAAAATTCCCCCAAAATTAAAATTTTTAAGTAAGTTTACAATGTTGTGTTGGGCTGCATTCATAGCTGTCTTGGGCTGCAGGTTGGACATGTAGGTAGGTGCAATCTGTTGTCTCATTGCAGGTGGCGCTCAACCACAGTGGCAATGCGGAGGGAGAGGAAGTCCTAGGGAACAGGATTCTTCTATGGTTTTCTGAGTCACTGGGGAAATGATCCAATTGGACGCTAGCCACCTGTGTGACTCTGGCGGCTATCTTAAATGTGGCAGAGTCTATTTAAGACCATGGCCCCTGGGTTTAGTGCGCCTATTTGAGAGTGGCTAAAGTAGGGAAAGGTACCCCACCTGTGAGGGACAATACTAGCGATAGGGAAAGGATCCTGATAGGGAGGGAAAGCATAGGGTTGCACGTCTCTGGATACCTTCCTGATTGGGCACGAGACGGCCAGGCCACATTCTGTCCCCTCGTAACAGACGCTGTTGGTTTGAGTGGGACTTGCTTCTTCACCCTAATGGAGACTGTGAGTGTGCCCTGGGTCCTGCCGGGTCTATCCTGAACTGTTGCTGTCTTGTTTCAAAACAAGTTTTATATTGCACATGACTGTGTGAATTATTGCGGTTTCACCACGCTGCACCCCACTTACAGACACCCCTGACTTAAAGTGACACTAAACAATATCATTATTCTCCCCAAAAAATCCATAGATATCCACAATTTAATGGCTCTGTAATCTATTTTTCATAAAATTGTTTCTTACTGTGTTTTTTGCCTCCTTGTGACATCCACTGTATGCTCTTAAACCTCTCCTTTTTCAACCTCAATTTTGTTTTATTGAAATGAGCAGAGCACATTTGTAGTGGTCCTGTGCGCTGTCTATGCACACTAGAAATCCCATAGTCTATTTCAGGAGGGAGCAAGTGAAGGTGGCTATATTCTTACATACGTACAAGGGGACCATAGGGAAGGAAAGGAAAAAAGGAATTTGCACAGCCTTAGAAGGTACGTTTTTGAAGAAATTATGTTTGATTTTAGTTTTTTTGTTTTAAAGCAAGAGTTTAATGTCACTTTAACAACCCCTAATGGAGACCCCCAGGTCCCATAACAACCAAGTGGTCTTGTAGGCAGGTTGCCTACAGGTGTAGGTTCTGTGTTAACTGAGCTAGCTAGTTTGCCCAGGTTAGAGAAGGGTTAATGCTAGCTGGGGGGGCTCTACTCTGAATGCTCTGGCTACATGGGAATAGAAGCAAGAGGCTTACAGAGGAAGATGTAACCCTTTACATCCAGCAACCTCCCTGGGGCTGATTCCTGGACCCACTCGCCAAGATGTTGTCACCATTCCATGGAGGGGGAATGCTGGGACCTGCAGTACACCTGAAAGCACCTGCTTATCGGATGCTTGCCACATTATGGACTTCCACCAGTGTATGGACCCTCACCTGTACAAATTATGCCTGGGTAGTCGTCGCAAAGCTTAATAGTGAGGGACTCGTATGTACTGAACTGTGTTTGTACATTGAGAATAATTTCAGTAAAGTTCATTGACTAAGCCTGATCCAAAGTTATGGGTGAAGGTTAATAGCACAAAGAAGAACTTTAGTCAGTTTTAGCACACACTGGGTATGAAGCAAGTATGTTACAAGGGGTTAACTCGGCAGTAGTTTCCACATGTAACCAAGGACTGGTTTCAGCAGCCTGTTGAAAAGCGTGGTACCTGGGTGAGGTGTCCTCCGGTACTAAGGGGGTTAGTGTTCTGGGACAAAACCTGTGTTATGGAGACCTGCAACCTAGCCACATGGTATGGGAGAGAAAGTAAGGAGTTAAAGTGTTACTAAACCCACTACAGTAAAATCAGTCTGTATATGCAGTAAAGCATGCTTGCTATACTCACTGTGGAACCTAAGGGGTTAATCATCTGCATTATGTAAAAATGCTGTTTGATCCTGACTTCTCTGATCCTCCCCTTCTTCCAGTGTCTCTCTCTTATCTCCCGATGAGACATATTGTGTGGAAACAATGCACATGCTCAATTTGGTGTGTATTGCTAGAGAAGTTTTTTTTTCTTGGGAGAGTGCATGTGATCAGCACAGGGCCAATCAGCACTGCCCAGACAGAGGTCAGTGGTTCTGCATCCTCCTAGAGAAAACTCCTCCTACAAACTTTAACCGATGCTCTGCTGCACACTGATAGAAGTCACAAGATTGCTCTAACTGCTGATGAGAAAAGGTATTTAGCAGTTTATATTTATTAAAATAATTGCATTTCCATGTTCTGTGTACTGTGGGAGACTAGATATAGTGAATGCAGGGTCCTGGGTTTAGTAACACTTTAATGAAGAGCACACATGAGGTCTGTACAGATGCTCGTGGGACCCATTCTATCACTGGGAGCGAGGTGGCAGACATACACTGGACAGGTGGAGAGGACACAGGCTCAGTGGTGTCCCTCCTAAATGCAGCAATTACAGTATGGTGTGTAGTGACATGGGGCGCAGAGCTTCACAGAGGAACTCTACATTTAATTACAACTTGCAGTGCATGGCTCATCTCTAAGTTGGGGGCCCCTTTAGGTGGATTTCACCTGAACATGGCCTCCTCCAAGTCCCGGGCATTGGTGAGTGTGTACACACATGGAAAAGTACCCCATGTGCAAGGCGAGTGACTCTGCCCGCTGCCTGACGTAGCCCAAGAACCCCATGGGCTTACAACTTGAAGTAGTCAGGAGAGATGTGCCTGCTCCTCCTCCACCCCATCAACCACATTTTGCTATGGCTATTATTACACCACTGTTTGGAAAAATCCTGATACACCTCGCGGTGACATAGTGTGCAAGATGAGATGACTGAACAGAATGGTAGGCAAAAGTCTACAGTACAGCCTCCTGAAAACCCTGCTCCATCTACAGTAGACATGGGAAAATAGTAAGAACATCACATGAGGATACGCTGAGTGAACATTTTATCCCTAGTCGAGTTGCCCTGTATTAAGAATAGAGTAGCAATGCACTGAATACGTCTTGTTGCTTGCTTAGAGAAGCTCTCTGTTTTCATTATGCTTGCCCTTATGACCCTTGTTAGAACATTAGACCAGTAGGCTTCTTCATAGCAGAGTCTCATGTGAGCATTTGTAGTTATTGTATTACGTGCTGCTAAAAATTAAAAATAAATATTTTTTTTTCCCTAGAGGTCTTCTTTAAAGAGCAAATCTGAATACCAACAGAAACCAGTGAACTAGTGAAATAGTAAATGCAGAAATTGTGCTACATTTATGAAATCCTCCTAATTTCTCTCAAACTTCAGTTGGAGCCACTGACTGTGCAAATGTCTCTTTTTATTATTACCAACCTCATTCAAAGGTTCAAGGATGGTTTGCATCTGACTGATGGCTTCATAAAAAAACTTCTTATTACACCTCTATCACACAGACTTCATCCTTTTAGTCACGTTTTTTCAAAGAAAAACAGATTCAGTTTGCATCAGTTTACATCAGTTTGCACATCCGTCTTTAGTTCAGTTCAGTTTACATCAGTTTGCACTTCAGTTGAATTCAGTTTATATTAGTTTTAGGCCCCTTCACATGGGACGGACCATTCAGCGGATCCGCTTGCTCAGCGGGGGATCTCTCCGCTGAGCAAGCAGATGACAGGTCTTTGTCAGAGTGGACACAGAAACAGTCTGCTTTCCTCTATGGAGCCTGTCCGTTTCCATCTGACTGTCATCCCATCCGATCCAGCAGACGGAAGGGGAATGGATCCCCATCTGTCTCTTTTTGGGCTCTTTCACACGAACGTTCCGATCAGGTTCGCCTGTCCGTTTTTCAGGCAGACCCGATTGGAACCTCCATTCTCTATGGAGCGGCGGATGTAAATGGACATGTGTCCGTTTACACTCGCTGACATCTGATCCGATCCGCCAAAAAGGGATCGGGGTTGGATGAAAACGGACAGGCAGTCCATTTTCATCTGACTGCCGGTTGAGGAGAGCGGGCAGCTCTGTGTCTGCTCTGGAGGAGCAGACACATTATATCATCTGCTTTCTCAGTGGGGATCAGCGGACAGATCCCCCCGATGAGCAAGCGGATCCACTAAACAGGTCTGCACCGTGTGAAAGGACGCTTTGGTGGATCAGATCAGATTGGATGTCAGCGGGTGTAAACGGACACATGTCCTTTTACACCTGCCGCTTCTTAGAGGAGAATAGAGGTTCCGTTCGGTTTTGCCTGAAACACAGGCAGGTGCACCCGATCGGAACATCCATGTGAAAGGGGCATAATTCAGTTAAATTTACATCGGTTTACATTCGTTCACTTCAGTTTACATAATTCTACCTCCATTCTGTTCTGTTTCAATGGATCTGGACTTTGGCTGTTCCGTTAAAAAAAAAAAACAGACCTGAACTGACATGGATGTAGGCGGATATAAACGGATGTAAACGGATGATCACCTGTTTACATCTGCCTACCCATAAATATATATTGAGGTTCGGTCTGAATCCATCGAAAAAAAACTGACTAATGGATCTAGACTGAATGCCCATGTGAAAGAGGCCTCAAACAGTTTGTGGTGAGGTTATGTAATGCATCCTCCCCACCTGTCAAATACCCTCTGATCCAGATGACTTGCTGAGCTGGTAGGCTGGCCTTGCAGTGTTAGTAGAATGTGTTTCATGTATGCATTCAAGGTTTTGTTTTCCATTATCAATCATGTATAACCATGCTGTGATGTATATTGGAGTAGATTAAATACATCCCCGTGGGTTAAACATATATTTCTTTCTAGGTTTATTGAAGGAAACAAAATAGAGACCATTTCCAGACATGCTTTCCGTGGCCTTCGAGATCTCACTCACCTGTAAGTCTATCCACATGGATTTCCTCACTATTCATTTGGTTTCATGGACTTCAATAGCAGCAGCTTATCCTCACCTTTTTCTTGCAGTTCTCTGGCCAATAACCACATTAAGACTCTGCCAAGAGACATCTTCAGTGATTTAGATTCCCTCATCGAGCTGTAAGTATGAATGTTTACAGTGAGTGGGAGAGTCTTTTTTGTAATTGATGCATTCAGCTTGGCTCTGTATTCCACATTTTATTACTCAAAAACCCCAGTGGGACAACCATCAATATACAGCCCAGCAGCAGCCAAAGGATGGGATGGATTATAACCTCTCGTGGGTTTCCATTGCTGTCTGTATTCCTGAATGCTGAGAAAGTTCCTCTTAAAGATGAATTCTAGTTATGGATATTTTATACATAGTATGACATAATGAAAGGTGAGGTGGTTGAAGGACTGTATGTATCATCTTGTATGCTTTCTTATATGGGAAACTAAGGTGTAATCTGTACCAGGTTTTCCGGGCCACCTTGGTAGTGTGGGTGCTGAACCGGATTTTTTCTTCCCCACAATAGTTACATTAGTCCAGCTTGGATCAATGTAGCTATTTATACACCATACCTGGCCAATGTCCCTGGAAGCTGGAAATCATTGAAGTAGACATCGTTACTCCAGAGATCTCCACTTGCTTCTGGATCCAAGTGGTTGCCCTGCTACATTTTAAACACAGAGGGTTGGCCTCTCAGCACTGAGAGATTTGCCAGTTTCTGCTATCCTGACAGGATGCATTGTCAACATTTTCCGAGCTTGAAAGGGCATTTGGGGGTCTCAGTGGTTACCTGCACACTCCATACACATTTTCCATCAGTATTGGGGTGGATCCATGTCCATCGAGGTTTCTGTGGCAACATGGCAATGCTTACTTGTTTTCACTTGTTTTCAATACATATGGCTTTATCCTTGTGTTAACTGCTCTTTGAGATAGATGTGATATCCCTCAAACCCCTGAGGAAAGAGTATTTTATCTCTGAAATGTGTCAGTTGAATGGAGACACATCACAAGCCTGTATCAACCATTGGGAGCTTTTTGTATTGTACTCATGTGTTATCACCTGTGGTGAAAGCCATTTTATATTTTATGTATTTTCTTTGCAATAAAATATATTATCTTTTTTACTAAATGTTTGAAGTAAAGTGCCTTTAAAGTCCCAAATTGGGGTTAAAACGCTTTTCTGGTTATATCTGAGGGATGTGACATATATGAGAATACATCCACCAGTATCTTATATGTGATTGGATGAGCTGGAGAGGCAAGACACTGACGTCACGCTCTTCACATTATCCAATCTGAGAACACTTTACATTGCATTCATAGCTGGAATTCCTCTGGTGCAGCTATGCATGGTAGCCAATAAGCTTCTAACTTCAGGCTGTTTGATTAAACAAGAACTCCGGGCAAAATGTTTATTTTCCCATGCAGTGGGGCTGTGCCCGCACTGCATGGGTTAACTGCTCATTTTTGTTAGTAAATCAACCCGCAACCTCCTCTCTAGAACTAATGGCAGCATTTAAATTAGTCTGCCACAAAGTACAAAAACAATGCTAGACTTTGGTATTAGAAAGCCTAATATGCTTTGCTTGTTAGTATGGACCCTGAATAAATATTTGTTTCTTAAATAAAGATTTGATTTAATTGATTAAAAAAATTGTACATTTTTAAATCTAAAATAAATGGGGGTTTCTCTTTAAAATAGCAAAATAAAAAATAAATAAATAGTAGTTCTTTTTAGAACAACTTGTCTTGATGCTATACTCTGATTAAAAAGTGTTCCTTTAATTTTTTTGAGCAGTGTACATTTATAAACACTGTCGTTTTAAGCTGGCCATACATGGTTCAGTTTTTTATCATTTAGCCAGTGGGCTCAATGAAAAAACTGAACCGATTCCCCCATCCACACATTTGAGGTGCATAGGGGAATCCTCCCCACTGTGCTATTTTGACAGCGGGGAGACTCCCCCTCTGTCAGCACCTAATGTGCACTGCTTGTAACAAACAATCAACTTTTGGTCAACTGCAGTGGCTGACCAAGGATCGCAATTTGACCAGTCACTGCTGAACCAGCAAAATTTCAATCCATCTATGGCCATCTCTAGTTACAGCACTATAAAAGTAATCGGGGTACACATAAGAGAAAATCAAGTATGCATATTACTTTGTATTATGTGTTTTATAATCACATCTGTTTAAAACTATGTTTGTTTTATAAAATGTAATAAAAAATATATATAAAATGTATATTTTTTCAATTATCAATTAAGCATTTCTTTTTTTTTAATTTGTTAATTTTGTAATTTTGGATAGAGTGGTGTAGGTTTTAAAAACACCTGTCAATTTTTAGCGCTGTGTCTATCCCCACTGGAGAGATTCATCCTTTCTGCTTGTTCTGGTGACCATTGTCACTTAGGATGGAACTGTGGGAATATACAAAATTGTAAATTGTCAGTAAAACAGAAATGGAGGGGAAGTCTTCCAAAAGAGGCATTTGTGCTAGTGACAACTGTCCAGGAAGGAGATATTCTCCCTATTGTATCTACAGGACAGGAAATTAAGGTAAATCTCCCCAAGGGGACGCCTCATGGGATGACAAAAAATGTAACGGGGTTTTATCTATTCCCTGCTTTATCCAAAAAATGGCTTTAGAAATGCTTTGTGTAATAACCAAAAAAAAATAGCTGTAAGAATGTCTCAAGCACTTACCCAGACATCACGAATAATCTGTCCTGTATTTTCCTGAAATGCCCCAATCAGAAAATTACTTCAGTATGGCCACTAGATAGAGCTGATGAGCATTTGAAATAAACACATTAGACAAATTACAGGGAATATTCATGATGGCTGTGCAGATACTTGTGACACAGCATATTTTTTTAAAATTAGATCCCATGTACTGTACATCTGCTGAGAGGCACACATCTCTATGGTCCCTGGAATGTTCTTACTGTTTGGGAGTTTTGTACAGTTGCCATTTCATTACTGGTGAACCTTGAACTTAGCTTCCCATAAGTCCATGTGGCTACCATTCTCTAGACCTCATGAGTGATCATTGGCCTATCTCTAATTTATTTCCACACTGTTCAAACCCATATCTATAAACTTTGACTGTAATTGAACTCTTAATGTATTTTAGAAGTGTATTGCACTGGACCTGCTAATGTACTTTTAATGCTCTTTCTCCCACAGCATAAATAATGCAACTTAAATTCAGGTCTCCCCATTTAGTATACTGTGTAAGGGGATGGCCTAATTAAATGAGTGTAAGGGCTAATTTACAATGCAAGATCTGGTTTATATATCAAGCCAGTGTTGAAACTGTGGTCATCCATTGGAAGCAATAAGCCACCTTCTCTGTTATGTTCTGACGTCTTTAAGTTTATAAAAGTGTGAATATCGTTGCCATTGGTTATTTTAACTCATATGATTGTCTTTTGTTATTTAGGCCTGATTGACTCTAGGTATCCATAGATTTTAGATGTCAGTTACCTGATGGTGTGGGGGCATATACGGCGACAATGTCATATTTATGGGTTAGTTACAAAACTTGCTCCAATTACTATTTATCCCTATGGTCGCCATGTGGAGAGTACAGTTATCTTTTCTTTTTTTTAACATAGAAGGGCTAAGCATAGAACTGTAATACTGTCAAGGATGTTTAGGATGACTTCAGTCCACAGCAGTACCCCTTTGTAGCATCACAGTATCACAACATCCTGATCAAGTGGGGGCTCCTGTACCCAACCTTCCCCCCTATATGTATATTCATCACAGGGCGGGTAGCCTGGGGTAAAAAAAAAAAATACCGGGAGTGAAGCTCAGACAGTTAACCCCTTCCCCAGCTTGGGCTAGCCAAGTGAGCAAGAGAGAGTGGCTTCGTTCCTATTTACAGTGGGACCATAAAGAACAAATGTAGCCATCTAACAGGAAGTCAGACCAAGGCAGCAAAAACAAGCTGGAGGAGGAGCCTGAGAGCAACAGAAGGCACTTTTTTGAGTTAATACATATTTGAATAGATTTTTTTAATAGAATTTAGTGTCACTTTTAGGGCCCATTCACACGTATGCATTGTGGTAATAAATGTCAAAACATTAATTTTACCCCCGTACCATGATACTTTGCAGTGCTACCCCAAAGCATCTCCACTGCAGTGAACTACAATGCATGGCTATGTTTGAAAAATGGGTGACTACCCATTTTTGCTTGCATTGTGGTATAGTGGCAGCAATTTTTTTAAAATTTGTTTACTAAGTTTTTTCTCACGTACAATACAACCTGAAAAAAGTATAAAAACAACAAAACAAAATATGGCATTAAAGAGTCACCCATGCAGGTAATGCTTCATAGATGCATGTTAGATGCACAGTTAACACTTGGATCATTAGGGTGTGGTTTAACATATTAGGTATTTCAAGCAGCTATGGAAGGTTTGCTATAACACAAAGACATAATATTTAAGGATATTCCATAGGTGGCCTCGCCAAAGCTAAAGCCCAGGAAAACCCATGGAAAAACTCTATTGTAGCAATATATCAAGCAATCACAATGATGCCGTGGTAAGGTCAACTAGCCATTTAGACCACACTCTCTCATACACTATGTATGAAATCAAACACCTGGGCATGCAGACTGCTTCTACAAACATTTGTGAAAGAATGGGTCGCTCTCAGGAGCTCAGTGAATTCAAGCGTGATACCATGATAGATTACCACCTGTGCAATAAGTTCATCTGGGAAATTTCCTTGCTACTAAATATTCCACGGTCAACTGTTAGTTGTATTATAACAAAGTGGAAGCTACTGGGAACAACAGCAACGCAGCCACGATTATGGTGTGGGGTTGTTCAGGCATTGAGCTTGGCCCCTTAGTTCCAGTGAAGGGAACTCTTAAGGTATTACCATACCAAGACATTTTGGACAATTTCATGCTCTCAACTTTGTGGGAACAGTTTGGGGATGGCCCCTTCCTGTTCCAACATGACTGCGCACCAGTGCACAAAGCAAGCTCCATAAAGACATGGATGAGCGAGTTTGGGGTGGAGGAACTTGACTGGCCTGTACAGAGTCTTGACCTCAACCCAAAAGAACACCTTTGGGTTAAATTGGAGTTGAGACTGCGAGCCAGG